AGTGCTCTTGAAGGTTTGCTGTGAACAGTCGCTGCGGCGCCGTGACCCTCCTGGACACGTCCCACGGGAACGAATGGCGCCGAGGTGGGAGAGGCCCAGGGGGGCCGACCAGAGGAGTGAGAGGGAAACACGCAAATCCACGCGCCAGGGACCCCCGGTGAGCTCCCTCAATGGGCGCTAGGGAACCCGAGTGGAAAATCTGCAATGGCAGGGGAAGGGCTCTCTAAGGAAGAGGGAGAAGAAATGCACTATAAACTCTGCAAAACAAACAAACGAACAGACAAACCAAGAGCCAAACCCCAAAAAACCTGAGTAAAGAGAAGGAAAAATGGCAAATAACCAACTCCCTAGCCTATGAACGCAGAAGGAAGCTCGGGGGAGAGCATGCGCCGCAGCAGGAAGAGTCAGGTTTGAGGCGGTCATCCTCAAACACTCCCATCTCAGGGCTGCTCTCTATTAAGTCACTGAGGAGCTCTGAGAGCTTTTGTTTAGGGGAATTACGGATACCGATGTTTAACAAATTAGAAATTGTAACTGACAAGTTGTAAATAATCATCCACGAAGTTATTTTTAAAAATAACGAATTCATTACCTGGTCCCATAAATAACCTACTTTTCTGACAGCGGATTATATTTTCCAAAATGAAACAAACACTTAGTGAGAAGAGATGCACTGTTTCACAATTCTGCGCATCTCTTTAACATCTAGCTTAGAAAAAGGAAAAAGACCATTGACTCTTTGTATGTGCTTCTGGATTCGATCTGCTGCACTGCTATTTTGACTGAGGTACAGAAGAGGATGTGGCCTCATGGATATGCAGTAACGAAAGAGAGGGAGGGCCTTGTAGGGCCCCTAAAACGGTCCCAGAAACTCCCAGGATCCTCAGACCAGCCTTTGAGAACTCTGAGGAGTAAGGGCCCTGACTTCTGAAAGGTGTGCGCGTGGAGCCAGGCTCTGCTATATCTGTGACCTTGGCAAGTTATTTAGTCCTTTAAAGCCTCAGTGCCCTAATGGATAGAACAGTAAAAGCATTATTGCCTCACAAGGTTGCTGACAAGATTACCTGAAATAGTTTCCCTATAGGTACAGTGTATTTAGCATAGTGTCGGATAAACGGCACATGAATCGGTAGCCATTATTTTTAAAAATCATCACTATTATTAATAACAGATATCCATGAAATCTGAGCAGCCAGAGGTCCACTTTTTTTTTGCAACCCTTTCCAAAGGGCTCAAAACTATTCATCCGAGCCACCCTGGCCCAGGGAAAAAAACATTCTGAGTATGTTTTAGTAACAGCCTTTCCACCCTTAACATTACACGTAAACCAGTGATCATTAAAGGCATTCTGATGGAGAATTATGAATGTAATACATTTTTTAATGAATTAATCTAAAGACTAATAAAAAGTCATTTAAAATGTTTATGGGAAACAATAAATCTTTCTTGATGCAATTAACGGAATCTGCAGATTTTACCAGGTAATAATGAGAGGTCCATCATATAGAATTTCAGAATGGGAACCTAAATATTAAGGTCAATTAGAAATTCCAATATATGGGAGCTCCTGGATGGCGCAGTCGGTTGAGCATCTGACTTTAGCTCAGGTCCTGAGCTCATGGCTCATGGGTTCGAGCCCCACTTTGAGCTTTGCGCTGAGAGTGCCAGGGCCCACTGTGGATTCTCCGTCTCCCTCTCTGCCCCTCCCCCGCTCACGCACACACGTGAGACTGTCAAATAAACAAATAATAAATACATGTTAAAATTTTTTAAATAAAAAAAAAGATATTAAAACAAACATATTTAAATGATTACCAGATTATAAGACTCTACCTTGGGAAACTAAAACCACTCTGGATCATCTCTTTTCACATACTCTTAGAGGTGTTTGTTTGTTTGTTTTGCTGTGTGTTTGCGTGTTCGTTACATGTTTATTTGCTTTGGTTTTTCTTCATTTCTGGAAATTCCACAGCCCCTAAACTACAGCCGAGGCACCTGGTGATAACTGACAACTCTAAAATCTTAGAAGAATTTCCATTCATTCGGAGGAACCGGAACACAAAAAAGGTTTTTAACCAATGTTACTTAGTTACTTGTAACATGCAGGACATCCTGATGTTATGTAAGAAGGAAAGTAATATTAGGCTTTCGGTTTCCTTCCATTCTGAGAAGGATGTAGGAGCACCCAACATGTGATCCCACAGTAGATTTTAATAAACACTTCCAGAATGGGTACATGGGGGGGAAGGAGAAAGAAGGGCAACAGAGGAAGCAGGGAAGTGGTGGCAAATGAAGCAACAGTCTGGAGCCCCCAGAGGGGTGATAACATCCTAAGAGTGTTCTGGACCTGGAAACCTTGGATTAAAGGCCTCTGACTCGGACAGGAGGCATGTCTCCCGGAACAGGCACCATACTGGTTCTGTGTGAAGCCAATTCTGCCAAGAGGCAGTGGTCCCACATCCACTTGACTCTTTCTTGGCTGACCAACTTTTCCCCCTCATTTTGACCCTACACAAACATTTGGAGGAATGTTTACTTTTTTCCTCCACCCCTGCTTGCTATGATGAAGGCTGGAGACTAGAGAAAGAGAGAGGCAAAACAAGAATATTTTCCTAAGACCAAGCTCTTGAATGGGAAGCATGCTCAGGAATATAAGCTTCATGGATAGATTCTCATTAATGAGACTATATTCACAAGAATTCCTCATTCTCAAAGATTTATCTCCATATGCAGCCCTAAGAAGGATCCGTCTCTGAGGACAGTCATTGCCAACAAGTACTGAGTGCTTGCTGGGCACACGCCGGGAACTGCGCTGGTGCTTCTGCGTGCATTACCTCACGACTCAGTCAATCCTGTCAACAACCTTATGAAGTCCAACTATCCTGCTAGCACGTTACAGGTGAGGAAATCAAGCCACAGACTGGTTCAGAGACATGCCCAAGGTCACAGAGCAGGGGAGCAGACCCCTAGCCACTTCAGTATCCTACCTCTCCTATAAACAAATACATCTTTAAGAAAAGTATATTCTGGAGCATAAAAGATCCTTTTAAACATATTCATATTTCTTCCAGTTTCAATTATTCAGCAGCAGCAGGAAAATGGAACAGAAACCAACTCAAAAGTCCCTAAGGGGGAAAAAAAATAGAACCCTTTCAACTAAAACTAAATGATTAAAAAAGAAATAAGTAAGGTTGGTGAATCGGCAGCTTCGCAAACTGGCCTTTGGTAAACGGGCTTCTCGAGAAGTGGCTGGTTCTCCTGTTAGTCTTGGCTGCTTCACTCTCTCAGTGACCTGGGGTTGGTCACTCAACTTCCTTAATTTGGACACGCATTGTGCCGATACGGTAGCCACTAGCCACATGTGGGCTTTTAGTTTTAAATGAATTAGAGTTAAATAAAATTAAAAATTCAGCTTCAACGACACTGAGCGTTCAAGAGCCATATGCGATTAGTGGCTACCATATTGGATAGAGCAGATCTGGAGCATTTCCATGGAGGCAGAAATTGCTCCTGGACAGTCTACCCTACTGCTCTAGTCTCAGGTCCATACCGGCTCCAACGTTCTGTGATTCCAGACTGGCTGCTGCGGTGAGGGGATGGTGGGCCCCGGGGGGGGGGGGGGGGGGGGGGGGGGGGAAGGTCTCAATTTTCCTAGTGCAGAAACTGGAACACCAGTGAAGTAAGAAAATGAACGCAAAGTGGGAGAATGCCCCTACGAGGACAACTTCTCATCCTGTCTTCACAGCCCAAAGGTGGAAACAGAGCATCCGTCTGGTTACTGTCCACCTTCATTTTTGACTAAAAGCAGGCTGGCCATCTCAAGGTCCTGCTTCTCCTTAACAGAACCAAAGGTCAAGGAATAACTAATGGCTCAGAAATACGCGTCCCACATCTTCCTGTGTTAAAATAGCCTGCTTCTCTTAGTTCTCCCCAGGCCATCCCGGGCCGACTGCTCTCTTAGATGCCTCCTCACCAGCCACTTGTCGTAGTGAGTGAATCCGGGCAAAGACTTGCCCTTCCGCAAGCACGAAGGGAAATCGATCCTAATTGTTCCTCATCCTTGCCGGCGGGGTCTGGCTTTCCAAATCCGGCCCACATTAGCAGCCAGCAGCCCAAGAAAGCCCGGTCTGCTCAAAGCCCAAAGGACATAATGAAGCCCGGCTTAATGGAAGATTCACAGAGCTGGCTTGATTTATATTTTATTCTAAACCAATTTAGGGTTGATGCAGAAGAAAGGAAAATATCTTTGAAGTTCTGAAAACAGGGCTTCAAAGATGTTTTCCTTTCTTCTTCATCGAATCTACTGTTTTTAGACTGTTTCCTGCATGGCTAAACAAAAAAGCCTTTGTTGAGAGATTTCAGATCCTGATTGACTTAAAAGAGGCTTTGAAATCAAGGGACAATTAAATTTACTTTTAGCTGGTATAGAACAGGGTATGGCATTCACTACTGTCAAGCACTGTGGGGAATCTATCCTCATAAAATTCTACATTTCCCAAATTAAATTATAAACCCAGTTTCCCTGGGAGAGATACAGTTTTAATCACATGGCCAGGCAAATACTATTATGCTTTAGGTTTCTTTAAATACTTTCCCAGGAAAATACTCTAATAGTGTTACCTTAAGGTGCCCACGAAGTTTTATTTGTTGTCTAGTTCTCCGGGATACAGAGAGAAAGAATACAGGCTAAGAGATCTCGTTAACTGCTCTACATGCTAGAAATAATCCAGACAGGCAAGTATTTTATAGAAACAGCTCTCCTTATAGCAACCATGCCAAATGAGGAGGGCAATTAAAAACAACAGGGGTATATATTTAGCCAAGACTTCAAGTGAGACAGAGCTGCATGAAATCTGGAGGTCCGTTCTCCTTCAGTACCTCTCCACCTTGACCTTACCTGAAGAGTGGGTTGTCCCAGCACACGCAGTGATACGTTCCTGATTCCTTGTTATTCAGGTAGATCCCACTGAAAGGCTGAAAGCAAATGAGATACATCATGTGTAGGGTTCTCCTAACACCAGCAGGAGATGATGTGGCGGATTTAAATCCAAGATTCAGTCCCCAAATAAAGGAATTTTTGTACTAATTTGACGAAGGGCAAACATCACCGGAGAGAAAATTACAACGTGCCCGACGAAGCAGCCTGCAGGCTTATCACAACCCAGCCTTTATTGTGCCAAATATTCAAATTATGACATTAATCATGCTTTGTATTTATATAGCACCTTTCATCCAAGAACATCAAAGTCCGTGAAAAAGTGAGAGAACAGTCCTCTGCATGGTGTAAGATTTCAGTCTTCGTCTCAAAACAGTTCATACAATAGGAATCCAGTCCACTGTCTAAAACACTTTGAAATCTCCAATTAAAGACAGAATATAAATACATACATAGCATAGCTCTGTCAGCTCGTGGTTGTGCCTTTAATACGCTTTGCGCGGCATTTAGGGCGTTGCATACTTACAAAACGTTTAAATAATGAGTTATCCCACACCAAATTATCCCACACCAAAGTTACTACCTAGATGAAATGACTTCATTAATTGTGGCCTAAAGAGTTTGCGGGTTTCCAGAGGTTTCCCAAGAAAAACACAAGGAGACTCGAGGCAATGAGTCAGCCAAGTCTTGACATATATTTTTCAAAATGCCATTTTGCAAATTGGATCTCGCTGTTGGAAAAAGAAACAAAGAGCTTTTTGCCCAATTCCTTTTGTGAAAGTAAATTAAAAGGAAAGAAAACAAAAACAAAACCAACCCCGTCACCCCAGCCAACTACGGACCATCCACCAGCAGGGCCGGGCAGCAAGCGCTCCCCCAACTGCACGGGATGAAAGAGAAGCCAGCGCTCCTCTGAACGGGCCGCCACGTTGCAGAACGGACTCGGGAGGCAGGCTGGACTCTTCTGCCCTTCCTAGATTTCCCGTCTCGACAAAATCACAGGTCAAACATTCAGATTCCCCGTGGTAATATTAACAGCCCGTTGTCAGCGAGCCGCATCACGGACAATTTCAAAATAACCCGCTGAGCCTACCATCTGGGCACGCTTGGACGTTTTCCCTCTTCAAAGACTCTAAGCTGAGCTGCAGAACAGTAGTTCTGCACAGTAGTAAGCTGGTCTTTTTACGGCCTGTCCCCCTGGGTGCCTGCTCCCACCCGTGGCATCTGCAACCAAGCTCCACATCCCTCCCGCCTGGGCTGACGAGACACACATGCCAGAGGGCCACCAGTCCTGGGGCTGAGCTAGAAAGCCTAGGAAGCTTCAACGGACACATTTTATGAAGTGACATCTATCCAGGCCTCCTAGACCGATTTCCTGATGCCTCCTTCCCCTTACACCTCAATTTTATATGAGTCTTATCATCTATTTAGGGCCGAACTCAGCTTTTAACTCAATTGTGCATTCTAGTATTTACTTGAAAACCTACTATGTACCCAGGGCTGGTCTGGGTGCTGTTACAGAGATGGGGAGGAAAAGACTGGGAACTGAACTGGCCAGCCCCTTCATATGGGACTTCCCAGCCTCCAGAACTGTGAGAAATAAATGTCTGTTGTCTAAGCCCCCAAGTCTGTGGTATTCTGCTATGGTGGCCCTGAAGGCAGTCTGTCTGGACCAATGGGACCTCTTTCCATACAACATACCTGTTGGGAACAGATGGCCCGCTCAAAAGGGCGATTTGCACATAACTTCATATAGAACGATTTACAAAGGTGGGGACAGGGCCAGCGGAAACCAACAGGGAGGGTGAGGCAGCCCCGGGCCTGTGGCTTTGAGAACACACTACCCTACTAGGCCTGTGGGGCCAAGGATGGGGCAGCTCCCAGCACCCGTGAGGCTGCGGCCGTAGGTGAGGGCGGCCTGCAGGAGCACGGCCGCCGAGAGGACCCCGGATCCTGATTTCTCGGTTGTGTCCTCTGACCTCGCCGGCATCATCCACTGCCACACTCGGTCAGTAGCCGGAGGGAAGGGGAGTGTGTCTTCTTCCCAGAGCTCAGAGCGGAGCGAAGCATGTGGAGAGCAGTTCTGCGGGGCAGACAGCGGGTGACCTGCATAAAACCTGCCTCCGACTGCCTTCTGTCGGACTTTTATAGTGCAACCAGGCTGTAAACTCATCTGCTGTGTCTACCCGAGTGCTAACGTACCCCTGCGGCCCAATACGCACACGCGCGACCGAATTTTTAAGTGTGGGTGACCAAATAGAAAGCTTAGACGTGTTATTTCTCTCTCGTTAGCAAGGCTTACAGCTAGTTCTGCATCATTCCAAGAAGTTACGTGTGGACGTGGGTCAGCTGAAAGGGATTTACAACATGACTGAAAATACTGGATGATGCTCATTTTGTGAAATGGCCAAATGCACAGAGCATACTGCACCATCTGTTTGAGAATCCCACAGATTTATTCTCCTCAACATCTGTCAGCTCATCTCCAGGCTCGGTATATATACCAAACCCTGCCTGGCTGTGTCCCTGAGAAAGGGCTGGCTTAGAATATTCTGGGATACGCCCAACTGCACACAGAGAATCACACGTGGCTCCCGGTATTACCTGCACTAATAACCACGGTCTCTTTCCCAGTGAAGGATTATTAGAGTCCCACCCACAGGAAGTTTTAAAAAATAGCAGGACTTCACAAGAATCTATTGGGATCTGCCGGCCTAAGGACGTCAGCATCGGAGAAACCGAGGGTGTGCCATGATTCCACGGCCACATGCACATGAACTCGGTGGGGCCTGCTGAAGGAAAGACAGAAATACCCTGCAGCTCCGCAAAAGCGCTGTGGTCCACTCTGTGGGGTCCACTTCCCCAATGAAAAGGTCTAGTAACCGCGTTCTACGGCTTTATTCCAGCGGCTATACTTGGGTGTGAGACAGATTACTGGTTAAGAAGCGCTGTGCTGGGAAAACAGTACCGTGATGAGGAACCACGGAGGACGGAGGACGGCTCCCCCCGGAAACGAGTCAAAGCTGAGCTTGATGAATGCAGCTTAATGTTTCTGCCTCTTAGCCTGCACTCACTCAGAAGTCACAAAAATTTACTTTCTGAGGGCGGACCACGGCCAGGCGCTGTGTTTTGTGCGAGGGCCACGCCAACAATGGCAAGTGCTCTGAAGGAAAAGTGCTGGGAACAGCAAGGCCGGCTTGGGGCCGAGAAAGGCCTCCCTGAGCACAGGGGCTGGGGGTTGAGAGGTAGGTCTGAAGGGGCAGGGAGGGTGGGCGAGGGGATGGGGGAGAGCAGGACACAGGGTCAAGGGCGGAAGGGAGAGGGAGCCCAGGGTGTTTGAGAGCGGAAGGAAGCTCAGTGTGGCCCAAGCGCAGAGATAGGAAAAACAGCCCCACCGAGGAGAGGGGCAGGAGGCTGGGGGCAGAGCCACTGGGGTCTAATTAGCCATTTGTAAACTTTGCTCTTTACCCTGGAAGAGGCGGGAAGCCTCTGGAGGGGCGGCGGAGGGCTGTGGTCGGACTTGTGTTTTCGGATCTCTCTGGCAGCCGTGTGGAGAAGGGGGGCCAGAAGGGGAGCAACGGGAAGGTTACTGAGGAGGCAGAACAGGGTGAGGGGAGGGAGGGGGGTCCGGGAAGGCTTCCGGTCCCTACAGGCAGGTGGACACGGGTGCCCGACAGGGAGAACCACGGAGGAGGGCCGGACGACGGGCAGAGCGGATGAGCGACACGTACCCCAACCCCCCCTCCAGCCACCCCCGGTCCATCCAGTCACCGAACCGTCGGCAGTGTGGCCTACCGGGTCGGTTCCCTTTCGCCTCGTGACGTAGAACCGCTCTGGAGTCAGTTTCTTTTGCCACTCGCTCCGGGTGAGAGACTGGCTCGCGCTCTGTGAGGGACCCGGGGTGGTTAAATGGGAACCTCTTGTAATTAGAACAAAAGGGCCCAATGGACGTTTCCCCTGAGCCTTGCTCCTCAAGTGCACGGCCACCCCCAGGACACGGCCGTCCCTCCCCTCTCCCACGACTCCCTTCGTCCCGGGGACCAGAAAGCTCCGGTACAAAATGCTTCAACTGACTATTAGTTTCACGAGAAAGGAGCAGCAAGCGGACAGCCGGTTTTCTCGTCCCACTGGGGCGCGGGAGCTAAAGAGGCAGCTGAAATATGAAATAATGCAGAATAAGATCTCCTCGGGTGCCCGGGGGGTGCACATTGATCCCTCTTCTATTACCGCATCCAGAGGAGTATTTCTTGCCAGGACACGGCTGGGGGTAGCTGAGTGACTGGAGAGAAAAGAACCGTGAGCTCGTGGGTTATTCAACTCCTCTCCTTCGCTGGTTTATAAAAATCTCTCTGCTTTTGTTTGTCGGCAGAAGTCTCTATTAAAAAAAAACTTCTTGGGGCGCCTGGGTGGCGCAGTCGGTTAAGCGTCCGACTTCAGCCAGGTCACGATCTCGCGGTCCGTGAGTTCGAGCCCCGCGTCGGGCTCTGGGCTGGTGGCTCGGAGCCTGGAGCCTGTTTCCGATTCTGTGTCTCCCTCTCTCTCTGCCCCTCCCCCGTTCATGCTCTGTCTCTCTCTGTCCCAAAAATAAATAAACGTTGAAAAAAAAAAAAAATTAAAAAAAAACTTCTTGTGCGGAAAAAAAAGAGACTCCTACAGCGTATGCCCCTGCAAAGAAACGGAGACCTTCCAGAATCTATCCTTATGCTTTAATCTTACGACTTTTACTCCAGTGAATGGAAACAAATTAACTAGGACAATACTCTTTTTAGCCAAAGGGGAGGAGGAAGCCCAAGGCATATATAACCGATGCTTCTTCGACCATCCAACACGAAGAATGCGAAAGGGTTTTATGATCTGTGCACCTCAACGTCCCAATGAGAAAACGGCGGCCCGGAGGCTTAGTAACTGACCACAGCAACAAAGATAAAAGGTTAGACACTTACGGTGTTACCGCCAAATATCGAACATGTCTGAAAAGCATATTTGAAATTCATTTTGTTACCAGAAAGAGGTCCTGCATAATGAAGATCTGTATCTTCATCGCTAGCTCATAATACCGCATAATACGGTATTTTTGGTATCGTGTGTTGTTGTTGCTTATGGTTGTTCACATTTTATTAAAAAGTTTTTAATCTGTTAAATATGTCAATAGTTGCCCTTTCTTAAATACTTTTTGTAAAGCTATGGGGACTTCTTTTTCACTCTGGAAATACACCTCCGAAATTTTCCTATGAAAATATAGTTCAACTGCACACGGTTTCCCCAGGACTCATTTCCTGGGGCACAAAGCAAGATGTATTTATGTGACGATTACTACTGCTCAGTGGCCTTTCAGAGTTACCAATGCAGAATGCCACGCAATAAATGGACGGGGGAATGATAACAATTAAAAAAAAAAAATCACCCTTTTATAATCAGTAAAATAGTCCCTGACTCAAGCAAGAATCGGCAGGGGATTCTAAATTTTTTTTTTTTTTCAACGTTTATTTACTTTTGGGACAGAGAGAGACAGAGCATGAACGGGGGAGGGGCAGAACGGCAGGGGATTCTAAAACCCCGGGCGAACGACTGTTGGAAGAATGGAACAGTTACACATTTTCAAGATAGTGTTAATTACGAGGAAGAAAATGAGCCTCCACAACGGAAAAATGTACACGTCACCACCTTAACCAAAGAAGCAAAGGGAGCATCGCCGACAGCGGGACAGGCTGACATCACGGGCCTCTGGGCGTGAGGCACTGAAGACGTCGCACCCCCCACCGCACTGCCTCCAAATTCAGGGAGCCCGCTGACACCTTCTCCGTGAAGCCTGGGAACCCTTCATCCTTCTCTCTCATTTCCCCGTAGTTCTGACACTTGGCATTCTCCCGTGGCACCTTTGCTTTCCCTGGGCTTCCGTGGCACCCGATTCTCTGTTCTCTCCCACGGCTCCCTTTCGGCATCCTTCGTCAGCCAGCCCTGGAACCAGTCCGGCTGTCCTAGGCTTGCCCCTGTCACCGCACCACACCTGCCTGCCCTTGGGTGATTTTGTCCGCTGAGTAGCTTAAGGACCATCCACATGATGAGACCCCCCACATCTAGCTTCCTTCCATCCTCTCTGCTGAGTTCCAGATCCATATGCAACCACAGACGCGTACCTTGAGGCTGTCCCGTTTCAAACACCGTGCGCGAGAGGACTTCGCGTGTCTCCCCTGCCCCGCCTGACCCAAATCTGCTCCTCCTCTCATGTGCTCCAGCTCTCTGATGCCACGCTTTAAACCGGAACGCCAGGCTGTCCTCCGTGACTCTTTCCTTTTCCGTGCACTAAGCCCTGTTGCTTCTCCTTCTTAAATAGCTCTAGGATCTGCTCATCCTCACTTATCTGCCACTACCTTGGCTCAGGCCGCCATTATCTCCAGCAGAGATGACAAAAGTCCCCGATTACAAAACGCCCTCCCCGATTTGCACCGCTTCTTCTTCCTCACTGCCCCAAACTGTTTGGTGTTGTCACACAGGAATCAGAAAACATGCCGTGTGAGTATCTCGAAGAGCACGTAGGCAAGAGAAAAACCTGGCTGCGTGTGCCTGGCATGTCTGATGAATAGCGGGAAGGCCAGGGGAATGGGTGGAGCGACCAGGAAAATATGCAGAAGTGGGAGCAGAGAGCTAATGGGGTAGCGGGCATAGCACCAAGGGCCTTGAAGGCCACCCTAAGGTTGGTGGCTTTTATTCTGAGTGCGGAAGTCACGGGAAGAGGAGCAGGGGCATGACATGATCTAACATACTTAAAAGGGTTACTGGCTGATGTACCAAAAAAATTGAAGCAGGGCAAAGGTCGCCGCAGGGCACCCAGCACAGAGGGCACTTGAACAACCTGGCCGAGAGACGGGAGGAGTCCTGGGTCAGGGCGGCGGCAGCAGACTTAGAGAGGTCCCTCGCCAGCTGTATTCTGATGGCAGAGCCAGAGGACTTGCAGATGTGAAGTACGAGAGAAAGGACACAGTCAAAGGGGCACCACTCCAAGGCTCTAGGTCCGAGCAGGGGACGACGGGGAAGCCTACAGGAGGAGCAGGTTTGAAGGCTTGTTGATAAAAATGCCAGCTCAATATTCAAGTGGACACGTCAGGCAGGCAGCTGGATTTATGGATGCAGAAATTGGGGAGAGGCCCAAGGTGGCCATGTAAATTTGGGACTCCTCACAGCATTACGATGTTATTTAAAGCCATGAGCCTGGAAGATCCCCAAGTCGGCGAGTGTGGGAAGAACAGAGAGGCCCAAGGGTTGGACTTGGAGGCGCCCCAAGATAAACAGGTGGAGGAGATGGGGACGAGCAGACAGCGAGGCAGGAAGGAAACCGCAAGAATGTGCCGTCCTGGAAAGAGATGACTGATAATTAACCATCGGGTTTGGCAATGTGGCCGTCATTGGTGCCCTGAAAAAGGGCAGTTTAGGCGGAGGAGAGAGAGAGAGAGAGAGAGAGAGAGAGTGTGTGTGTGTGTGTGTGTGTGTGTGTGTGTGTAGAATAGATCTGATAGAGAAGAGGAGGAAGGAAAGGGAGACAGTGCAGACAGGTCCCTCGGGAGTTCTGCAGTTAGCTGGAATGGAAGGTAAGATCGAGAGTACTCTTTATGAGGAGAAAGATCACAGTATCCTAGTAGGCTGTTGGGAATTGTCCACTGAAGAGCGTAAGTTGATGATTTAGGAGAAAGAGGGGAGAACTGTGGAGCTGTTTTTGACCTTGACCTTAGGTGGATGAAATACAGGAGAACAATGAAACTGTGAACATTTTATTGACTGTGTAAGCTTTAGATAACTATTCAAGGTGACAATAAAAGAGTTTTACAAAGCAATGCCAGCCTAACCGCCCAGTGAGGGGAAAACACTGTGCAATCTCTTCAGGCGCGGTTAGCAGGGAAAGGTGTTTTGGTTGTTTTAAGACCAAGTGGGATCAGAACTGGCTTTAATTGGAACTATGTGTTTAACCACAAGAGAAGCGGAAGACATTCTACTTAAGGCCGTTGAAAAGCCCAACAGATGTGTATAACTATATTTTGTAAGCCTTCAACCACGGGCAAGATCCAAAAGCTGTCCAGGGCCAACGTGTCTGTGTGACCTAAGCCGGGACTGGTCACACAAAGGCCACCTCAAATAGTGAAAAAAAGGACGGCAAGAGCGGGATTTGATTCTCCCTCCCAGAATCTAAACTGGTTTTGAGGGAAATGGGGGAAACCTGAACCCTGGCTCTATCACTGACACTGGTGATAGAAAGGAGTAGGAGAATACCATGATAAAACGCCCTCCTCACCCTCCAAGTGTCTGTCCTGCCGCGTCACTCCACCTACATTCTTGCCTTGGGCAAAGATCTTTTATTATTTCTGTGGAATTCTAAGAACTGACTTTTGGTACTAAGATTTATAGTCTGGAAAGTTGCTATTATCTTCCCTGCTTCTTTGGGGGAGGAAGTGGAATGGGCTAGAGGGGGAAAAAAAAAACCACTACTGTTTCCTGGAAGCATTGCCCTTAGGGTCTTTCCACATGCAATACAATTGCTGACACCAGAAAGAGGGAATTCAAGAAGCGCGAAAGTTCAGCGGGACTCCCGCCCTTCGGCTTCGAACCCAAGGTCTGAATCCTGGATGGGCCCCCAGATCCCTCTCCTATAGCTCTGTATTTTACCACACCTATTAGAGTGACTAATTCTTTTCAGACACTCCCCTTCTCCTATTTTTTTAGCTTAAACTTTAAAACTAAGATTTAAATTGTTAGACAAAAGGGGCGCCTGTCGGTTAAGCATCCGACTTCGGCTTAGGCCAAGATCTCACCGTTGCTGAGCCCGAGCCCCACGTCAGGCTCTGTGCTGACAGCTCGGAGCCTGAAGCCTGCTTCCAATTCTGTGTCTCCCTCTCTCTCTCTGCCCTCTCCCACTCACGCTTTCTCTCAAAAACAAATAAAGGTTAAAAATTTGTTTGTTACATCGTCAGACGGAAGAATTACTCCTTTATCTAAGTAAGTACGTTTTTTGGGGTGCCTGGGTGGATCAGTTGGTGGAATGTCTGATTCTTGATTTCGGCTCAGGTCATGATCCCAGGGTCACGGGATCAAGCCGCACATCGGGCTCTGCCCTGAGTGTGGAGCCTGCTGAAGATTCTCTCTCCCTCCCTCGGCCCCTCTCCCCCATTTTTCATGGCTCTTCTAATCCTTATCTGTACGTACCTTTTACACAATGTGTGTGAAAGGTTTCATGGGTAGGTAACAATGTTCAGACTAGTTGTTCTTCAAGCACCAAATATGCAACATTTAACTGTAAATCTGCAGCCTAGAAGACACCATCGAGAGAAGACGGACCCTGCCTTGATAGCAAAATGGCCAGCGGGCAGCTGGGTGCTCTCGGGTCGGGATCAGGTCTGCATCACTTACGGAGGCTTCTTTAATCATGGTGTTAGGGGGTGAACTGTGTCCTCCCAAAATTCGTATGTTGAAGTCCCAATCCTCAGTACCTTAGAATGTAACAGTATTTGGTGATAAGGCCTTTAAAGAGATAAGGTCAAATGAGGTCATATGGGTGGACCCTAATCTCTATAGCTGTATTTCGGAGATGGGGCCTTTAAGGAGGTGATTATGTTAAAAATGAGGCCACAGGATGGGCCAAATCTGACCAGTGTCCTCACATGAGGAGGAAGAGACTTTAGGGCTGTGTGAGCACAGAGAAAAGGCCATCTGCAAACCAAAGACAGAGGCCCCTCAGGAGAAACCAACCCTGCGAATACTTTGATCTTGAACTCCCAGCTTCCAGAATGATGACAAAACAAATTTCTGTGTTTCAGCCTTCCAGCCTGTGGCATTTTGTTGTGGCTGCTCCGGCCAATTCACATACTACGCTTTAGGAAACTAAAGTTTGAATGGAAATTGCATTATGTGTAAGCTCTGCAGTTTCACCGAACAGCAATTTAGGCGCCTGTACATACAACACCCAACCAGTGACCATTTTAGGAAGGAGTAAGGTCACTTGGACACCGGTGGCCAGAGAGGACTCAACGTTGGGCTTCTGGTCCTTTTGAGTGTGTGTAGAGGTGTTTTCTGTCC